TTTTCACTTCAAATAGTTTGTAATTTTTTTTATTTTATTTTTTACTAAAAAAGAGTCAACTTCTTGAGGTAGAGAGATGAATTTACTGTGGTTGTGTCTCAAAGCAGAGAGCTGGTGTGATCGCAGTCTTCAGTGCTTGATGGATGTTCTCTCAGCGTTAACATTTCAAAAGTAAAAACATCGCTAGGAGATAAGAGTTTGTAGACGTACGCCTACAAAATTCTCTTAAATTTAATTTATTCCTAAAATTGGTTTTAACCCAGTTTTATTAAAATGCTTTGTATTTGTCACTTAACACAGTATTAACAAAGCGGGTCCACATTTGTGACTCCCACCCCTTATCAGCCATCATGGAAACAAGGATTAGTTTTGGGCCGCTGGAGTGCAGAGAATAGAAACAGTCTGCACAGGGATGTGTTGGCCATTGTTTTTGACTACACTTTCATTTGACGGGGAGTTTTACCGGCCGTGATCTTAATTAAATCTCAACTGACTCAAATAATGCAGAAAAAGACATGCATTGTTGCGTAACATGGCTGGCAAACCATCCATCACGAGTGGCACAGTTTATGCCAAACACAAGTTGAATCAGAGAACAAAAAAAAAAAGAAATTAACGTTGTCGCATTAAATCTTTGAATCCAGTTTCAGTGTATTAATTTATTTGATTAAACTTTTGTTCAGAGGTGTGGCTTCTAGATCATAAAAATACATTTTGAACACATTTTTGATTTTTTTTATAGGTATGCATTTTAAGTTTCAAATTACTGTAAGTAATGCAAAGACAAAGACTGTAGTTGTGTGTGTGTGTGTGCGCAGCAGTCACCTGCAGAAGTGGGAAACAGCATCAGCTCAGCTGATGCTGCTTGGCAAAGAACTACCTCTCTTTACTTGGTGGAATAAACTGTGCACAAATAGACCAACAACCAGGAAAAAATTGTTTTAGCGGAAAGTAAATTAAAATCCCTGCTGCAAATCTTGCTGCAAATAAATAAAGCCACGGACAGTTCAGAACATAAAAAGAGGAACTTACTGTACAGCATGGTCCTACAAATGTGTGGATGTGTATATTTTTAATTGATGTTTGTATTTAATGTGGCATAAGCAGCTGTTGTTTAAGTGTAAATAATAATAATAATAACTATTATTATTATTATTATTATTATTATTATTATTATTGCATTCACTGCAGGGTAGAACATGTCAGTCCCGTCTCAGCCCAGGACTAATTCCATTCACAGCTGGCTTGTCCAGCAGCTCCTGTGACGTCCTCTTTGTCTGTGTCATTTTCATCCATTTGATCACAGCCAGGATGAAGAGGCGTTTTGTTAGGGCAAAGGTAAAACATTGCAATAATGAAAAAAAAAAAACAGAAATAGTGATTTCTCTAATTATTATTTTTTCAAATGTTCCAACTGCTCCGTCTCACTGTCGGTGTCAGACTTTTAGTCGCTCTGATAGGCCAAAGCACCTTTTGCATCTGCGTTGCTCTCTGATATTTTCACCTTCTGCTCCGTTCTCTGCTCCTGTTCATCTTAATTGCCTGTGTGTGTGTGTGTGTGTGTGTGTGTGTGTTGTTTGAGCTCTGACTTGTGACAATAGGGAGATTTCTTCCATAAATGAAATGGTCAATACTGTTTTTTTTAAATACGTCATTTTGAATAATAATTCATATACATTATTTTTTTGTGTCTTGATTTCGTGCAGATTAAGTGCAGTGCAGATTGATCTTTTTTTTATTGACAATTACCTGGTGTACTTGTCTGTCTTTTCTATCTTCGTGTTAGTGTACATTATTATAGTGGAAATTCAAATCCACATTTTACAAATATTTTTTTCTAAACGCCTGCGTCTCATTGTTACGTGTGTGAGTGGAGCGCAACTGTGTGAAAAGGAAGTTAAATATGGTCTAACTGCTTACATATGCAGTGTTCACATGTCTATATGCTTTTGTGACAGTTAACACACCACAGTTTAGGTTTGTGTGTGTGTGTTTGTGTTTGGCCAGCAGGCCTGTGCTGGTACAGTATATTGCCTCCAGTCACTCTGCAGCTGTGTGAGAATGTTCCAGGTTTGAATGTTTATGCATGGGAGGCACCTGGAGAGCACCACACCTTTGTGAAATTCATAAACATTAGCTATTTCTGGCATCTTCAGAATGTCCTAGAATGTCCTCTTTTTACACACACACACACACACACACACACACACACACACACACACACACACACACACACACACACACACACACACACACACACACACACACACACACACACTCTCATTTTGGTGGAGTAGATTAGTGCTGGGCTCAGTGGATCCCTCTCCTTATTAGCCCAGTGAGAGCCTCCTTTTAGACTATCTTTAGACGGCGATATATTCCTGCAGATCATCTGGATTCATGATGTTATCTGAGAGATAAGGGAGTGCACCGTATGGGATTGTTCTAAAAGGCGACTGGCGTCCTGTGTTTGTGTTAAACGGGCATGATACAATGGCAAAGGGCAGTATTTTTCAGTGAAAGTGCTCCCTCCTGCCCCTTCCTCTCAATAGGACCCAGTCTTAAGCAGATTTTCTCTCTTTCAGCACAGGATTAAATGGTGGTAGTTACATTGATCAATAGGTTAGGAAGCAAACAATCCTTCTTACTGCTAATGACCTCAGTAGTAATGGGTAATAAAATGGGGGTCTGTAATAGCCTCTTGCCGGCTCTATGTACAGAGGAAGTGTCCCTTACTGTAGTTATCCTGAGCCTGGTGACAGGGACAAGTGTGAAGCCGTGATGAGATCTTCACCTCAGGTGTACCGATGCACGGCCGACAGCCTGTTTCCAGATCTGTTGTTTGTAATGTAACTGGCAACTATCGTGAGCCATTCAAGTGCGTTCACACCCGCTGTTAAATTGAAGCTGGTTCAGTTTTTCGAACATGGTTTATTTGGCATGAAATTATAAAAGTGAAAATATACCTTTTTCTAAAATGGAGCCTTAAAAAAATGCCAGTTAAATTTTTTTTACATGTTTGAACTCAATATTTGTGTCAAGTGTTGTTAGAAATAATAAGTTAGAGGACAAGTAATAACACACAGCCAGCCTTTTTGTTTTTCACAAAATATCATTGCCAGTACACTGCCGTGTTGACACACCCAAGTGCACGTCTGTATCGATGATTAGCATAACATTTCTTTTCAGCTCATATAGAAATAAAAACCACAATCTCACACATTTTTACAGCTTTACCTGTAGCTGATGGTCTGCATCACAACCATCAACGTGTAGCATCTGAGCTATACGTTAAAATTTAACCATTTTCTGCCTTCGTACATTATAACTGAAGTTGCAGGTTTGTGAATAAATTGACAGCATGTGATGCTAAATGCTTGTGGTGACAGAAAAGCTTTAATGGAGGTATTATATATCACTGACCTCCATCAGATTTAGTGGAAAACATGTCACGTACTGGCTCAGCTTGTATTAGATTTGCAAGACAGAGGGGAGACTCGACCGACCAAATAGTTAATCAAAATTAGGGATGCCCAAAGAAAAGATGGAGTTAGTCTCATGGATAATGAGTGTGAAATTAGAAAACAGAGACCAAGGCCGTGCAAACAACAGGACAAAGCAGAGGTCATGTGCAAATGTCCCACTGCATATTAAGTCATGACACAATAGCAAGTTAACACTGCTCTTCCCTCCTCCTCACACACCTCCGTCTGGTTCTAGAAGTGTGAAGTTTGCTCTCATACAGGGTGGGGGTGGCTTATTTCTTCCTGTCCTGGGGTCCAGAGAGACACGCAGCACAACATGGGCAGGAACTGTGGAGCAGAGTTAAAGGAGAGCATCAAATCTGCTCCGTCCTTTTTGACACCTCTGCCCTTTCCTTTGCATTAGTCGTACAAGCTGTTCATTATGGCAGTGCTTTGTTTTTGTTTTATGCCACAATGGGGAGAAGGAATAAGGTGATATGCATGCAGGGTGTGTGTGTGTGTGTGTCAAGAGAAGCCCCCGTAGATACCGGACAAGGGTTTTTAAACAGCTAAATTACAATTCAGAGATGCATGAAAAATTCAAAGGGGTGTCATTAGCTATAAGACACAATTTGGGTAACCTTGGTGAAGGCAGTCTGTCACTGCTTACGTCCGCTCTATCAGCTGCTGACATCAGCCACAGAGACAGAAAGCACATTTTAACACACACACACACACACACACTCCAGCACATCCTGTACATACTAATGTATAAATGCAAAGAAAAAAAACCCTGCTAACGACTGCAAAGATGCCGCACTCTCCAGTACATCTTAGCCGCTGTTTGTCATACAAATGTCAAGGGAAGGAGCTTCTAATTGTCTTGCATATCATGGCGATGAGTGGCAGCATCCAGACGCACTCCATGTCCCCGATGCCGCCAGGGCAATTAAGGCTGCCTGACAACTGTGGGGGCTCTTTCAGTGTCACAACAAATCACTTGTTTTGAGGAGTCATGCACTCACACCTTTCTACTGGGACTTAGTTAGTTAGTGGCCTGTGTCGTCCTGATCGTGGCTCCTCCTCCTCCTTCTTCAGGCGCTCCGTATCTTCTCAGTGATAGATCGCTGTTGACAGCGTCCCCTAATGAAATATTCTCCTGTGACACGTCGTGCATGTGTGTGTGTGTATGTGTGTGCAGACTGTAGCAGGTCCGTCACGATGTCCGCAGGTACGCCACATCTACTGTGTTGTGTAAATGAGAAGCAGCTCAGTTGAAGCTGATAGTTATGGATAGTGGTGAGGGGTTTTCATGACGGAGGAGTCGTGTGGTCAGAATGTAGAGGTTGTGGACTACGTTATTGAGCCTCCCTGTGTGTGTTTTTGGCTGATGTGAGATCCTAAAGTGTAAATCAAATCCTAAAAAAGACTGTAGAAGTGTAGTTAGTCTTGTCACCAATAAGGATTTAGTGCTGTATTTGTCTAGATCCAGATCTGTCATCATCCTTGTCTGTGTGTGTGTGTGTGTGTCTGCAGGTTCCAGTTTCAGTGGCTATGATGACACCTCAAGTGATAACTCCACAACAGATGCAGCAAATTCTTCAGCAGCAAGTCCTGAGCCCTCAGCAGCTCCAGGTTCTTCTCCAGCAGCAACAGACCCTCATGTTGCAGCAGGTAATGTTTCATTCTGCTGAGTACATCCAGTCAGAAGATGACAGAATTAGAATTACAATTTACTATTAGAATTACTTTAAATGTTTCAGGTTGTGGGTTCAATTCCAGTTTACTTTAGTCTGCATGCTAATGGTTCCCCTTCACCTCATGCAGCTGTGTCACCAGTAAAGCTGTGCTGTGTCAAATATACACCAGGAAACATATAGTTCATATAGAAAGGAATGAATGAATTAAAAAATGAGTATTTTAAATATTTGTATCAAGACGTGGCCGTACCATCGTTTTCTCGTATGCAGAAGTCACTGCAGCTCCTCCACATGTGGCAGAGCCATCAACTGAAAAACTCCTCGATTATTGTTTATGGAGAAGCATTGCTCACCAGCGTGTAATGCGAGTCTGTTCAGTCACTCAGCCAGCATTATCTGTGACAAAGAAAATGAGGAAATGACTAACTTTTAAAGACGCAGTGATTCCAACAGTCCAAAAACAGATCAGATTTTTTTTTGTTTATATTCATACATCAAATCCAAATCCATAGAAAAAACTAATGACGCCAGTTGGAAAACTCTTAACTACCACAGTGTGTTTGTGGTAAAGAGGCAGAGGTACGGTTTATATAAGAAAGTTCTTTATATAAACCAATTACAAGTAATCAGCATTGAGCTAACCTTTTAATGCTGTAGCTGTCGGATCGGACAGGATATAGTTGTTTTTTCGAAGTTAAGACTTGGATCGAGACATCCCTACTTAAAACTCTACTACTGTTCCATGTAGAAATGTAGTGATGTCTGGACTTTGAGTCTCATCTCACTGTCTGTCATTCTCCTGCAGCAGCAGCTCCAGGAATTCTACAAGAAGCAGCAGGAACAGCTGCACCTCCAGCTACTTCAGCAGCAGCATGCAGGCAGCAAACAAGGCAAAGAGGTAGATTGACATCACTCCACACTCACTCTGCCTGCCATTACCAAAGCCACTGGCCAGACAGAGTATGAAAGTCATGTTCCCCCACCCACTCACCCACTCATTCATTCACTCACCCACTCACCCACCCACCCCATTCCAGTTCCATCTGCTTCCAGACTGTGGTGAAAGCAGAGAAGCGAGGGGGAGAATCAAGTGCACTCATGCTTCTGATTAGCATGTCCGACTCGCAGGATAAATGGTAACAGCTGATTGATACTGTGTTAGGAATCCAGCATCTCCTTTTCCTACAGCCCCGTCCACATCGAGTGTGTTATGTTTTATAGAGCTCGGGCTTTGGTTTATCGCCTGCGTGTTTGTTCCTGTTCTTCCTGTAAACAAGTATCCCGAGGTGTGGGACATAAAGAAAGGATGAATGGAGACAGGCAGGAACAGGGCACACATAAATCTTAGCAGCCTTTCTTGGTAATTAAAATGGAAATGGCAGAGGAAAGGAAGGCATGTAATTGTGAGATATCAGTGCAGAGAGCGCTTTCAGCTTTGTTGCCCTTGCTGCGTTGATTTTCGTTTTTTCCTTTCTCTCTCTCTCTCTCTCTCGATCTCTTACTCCCACTCTCCTTTGCTCCCTCCAGGACAGCAGCTCTTGCTCACAGGCAGCAGCTTAATGCGTGTTAATGACTGCCGGATGCAGACATTAATGTTGACAAAGCAAATTATTATTGTACGGTCAGAAGAAGTTCAAAAGCAATCTGGGAATTTTCGTATCTCTTGTCCCTATCCAAATCCCCTGTTTGGGGAGCGAAGAAGAAGAGCAGAACTGGAAGCCTAACACACACGGCACACACGTTCGCGAGCTCACACTCACACATGCCCGCGAGCCTGTCGAAGCTCCCAACTTCAAAGTCGTAGCTCCCTAATTAATGAACTGAGGGCTTCACTGTGGACAAGTTGTGGTGTGATGCTCCCATAAATCAACATGACAGCAGAGCTGCGCGGCCTCAGATAGGGCCTGTCACTAACTCACATCTGATGTAAACACCAGAGGAGGGGAAAAAAGACGAGAGGGGAGCGAGGAGGTGCAATTGATCAGTTGAATAGGGCACAGGCATAAAAGAAAAGGCAACTTTTGAAGCATATTATGTATGATCACAGGAAATGGATGCAGCCTCGAGAGGCTCTTCCCCTCCTCTGCCGATGTTTTCTTTTCTCTCCCCGTCGCAGTCGCATTTAGAGCAGCCATCAAAAGACAGAATAAGAATTATGCAGTGACTCCCCTGTGGCTGCCAGACAATAACCCCCTGTTGTTGCTTTGTGCCTCTTTTATTTTAAAGACATCAAAATTTAGTTTTTTCAAAGATCTTTAACTTTATATCTGACGCTCCACAATAAAGGCCTGCCACTGCCACTCTTTATCATTTGTCAGAGACTTTTTTTTTGTTCTCCCTCGTGCCACTTCTTATTAACCTCTTATTTGGTCTATTGGCTTTGGTTTTTATAAGCTGCGAGCACCCAGGACTACTGTCAAGTGACGGAAGGAAAAGTTAAAGAATAACAAAGTGATATTAACTCACAAATTTTAAAGTCCTATTTCTTCATGGACTTTGGTAGATCTCACCACGTGTTTCTGTCTTTTCTTTTCTACAGTTCAAACACATTCATTTTAGGGTTTAGGGAAATCTTTCATTCTAAATTGACCACACATATAAATGTGTAACTGTAACTGGGCGTTTGTCTCCATGTATGACCCTATGATGGACAGATCAACTGTCCTGTTTGTACCCTGCCTTGAGTCCAGTGACTGTTGTACACAGGGACACTATGGCTGGAGGAGAAAAAAATGTATTAGACTGGTATCACCAAATACTTCAAGTTGCAGTATCGGTCTCAGGCTTGAAAAAAATCTATCGAGCCATTCTTAAAAAAATACGTTGAATGGAAAAATAGACAATAAGGTGAGACCAACCGAAGCCTGGTGACATTTGACAACATCCATTATTGTGACCCCACTCTTATTTCGTGGCCAGTTTCAGTCAGTGGTTTTTTTATTGGTGTTCTGTGATTTATAAATTAAAGAGTATTTAAGAAGAAGAGTTGTGTTGATCGTCACTGGAATCCAGTCCTTTTGTTCATTTGTACAGACCAAAGTTAAAGACCTAGATTGTTCGTTGGGGCTGTGCAATAAGGAGTGTGTCCTTTAGATTATGTTAATATACAGTAGATATGTCACAGCCCTTAAAAATAGCCCCATGACCCACTTTTGGGTTCTAGTCTACCATTGAGAAACACTGGCTTATTAACCTGTGAATGAATGTCTGCAGTTTGATGCTCCATTACAGCTGTCAGAGCAGCGTCCTCCATATTGACCGCACTCACTGTAACAGGCGATACGTAGCCCAAAGCATTGTGTGCTGAAGAGGTCAGCAGGGTGTGAAGCAGGGGGGGAAGCGAGAGGGGAGGCAGACAGAAGGGGAGGGGAAACGGAAAGGGTTGCTAGACACTTTTGACTGGCCGAGTGGGATGGAGGGCGGGTCGAGTCAGGGACTTCACAGCCTTCAGCAAGTTGACCTAACAGTCGCACCAAGACCTTTTTTGTTTGGGATTAATTGTGAGAAGTAAACAAGGTGGTGTATCCTGTGTTTGGTAAGAGGGTGTGGTGCACAGCTTGGCAGCTCTGGTACTGCTTTAGTGCCCCCCCACCTCCTTTCTTTTCCGCCGCCTGACAACTGCCCTTGTATACTCATAAACAGGCCCGGTATCCTGTTGAGTCTGAGGCGTGCTTGCTTTATTTTATCCTTATCTGTTAGACATACAGAAGGTGCCCTTACAGATCCTGTTGTGTTATTTGTATTAAAGCAGTTCTCAGTTCACTGCAGTGTAGATCTGATAAGAGCAAATGTTTGGGGATAGGCCTTTAAATGGAAAGAAGGAAAAGAGGTGGCAAATTGTGACAAACCAATTACAAAATGGATCAGATTCATCCTGCACACTAATTACAATTCGTGATATCATCGTGGTAACTGTAGGAACAAAAAAACTTCTCTGTGTCTTGTATTGATCTACAGAGAGGGGATCAATTCTGGCAAAATATTCCCATCTGTGTACTTGGGAAAAATCCCAAATTTAAAACCAAACAGACAAATTCAACTTACAACAGTATAAATCACTGATACTTTATCAAGTGGGAGAGTTTACATATGACTCGATTTGACAATGTTTTCTATTTCGGAATAAAAAAAAACTACCTCTGTAAATTCATTTTAAAAACATTTGATAGCTTTATAGATTATTTTTATATATATTTTCATTTTTCTCATTTAAATAATTAACTCCCTCACTTTTTTATTAAGGGATTACTTTACCCTTAATAATATTTTTTATCAAATTGTATTCAATATTATATTTTATTTGTCATTAAATTTTCAACTAAAATATTTGTTTTTTGTTGTATTTTTTTTTTTTTCACATTTCACATTTTCCACCATAATATATTTTACTGCAGTTTTTCCCTTTATTACGTTTTCCTTCCTTTTTCATTAAGCTGTTTTAAATTGTTAAAAACAATTGTTTAAATTTTTTACTGTCCAATTTTATTTGTATTAAATCTTTAATAGAACAATTTTACTGGTTACCTACACATCAACAGTTTTATTTTAGTGATTTATGTTAGTTTCTAATATACTGTCATTCTCTCTTTTAAAGACTTTTACTTACATTTTCATAATGAAACCATCCTTTTCAAGAGTTACTGAAGTTTCACTATTAACTTTATCCATGTGTTGTTCATGACGGCAGGTCATGTAGTGCTTGGGAAATCCTCTGTGTATAAACTGTATCTTTTTAACTCACAAAAGTTTAAACTTGAGATAATCCCCTTCTTTTTGAGATTCTGTCTTTAATTATGACCAAAGTTCACACTTTTCACTTTCCTCCAACAAGGAACTCATCAACCGTACCTTCCGTGTCAGAATCAGTAAAATCGCAGCGGTGTTTCATTAAGTCTGTGCTGATGAAACAGCTGTAGCACAGTCAGAGCCGCACAGCAGCCGTCTCTCAGGCAGTCCGCAGTATGTAATTGAACGCAGCTTGCCGCTGTGGTTTCGGGGAAACACTCCATCCCTGCGCTCAGTGCCACGGCTAAGAGAGTCGCGAGAGTCGCCGGTGTGGTTATTAAGGACTTTGCTTTAGTCACACGTTGTTTGCTGAATTATGAATGGCTGTAATTAAATTCCTGTGGCTCTTATTATGAATGATTAACTATGTTGTTTCGTTGTTTGTCACTTGCCTACAGACCCCTCGTTAATTAAGAACGGAGAGAGATGTATGGTCCACCTGTCTCCTTAAGAGGGAGCAGATGAACCCAGCGTCACCCAAGCAGGAAAAACTTTACTTTGTGACTTGCAAACGCACATGAGCCTTTGTTTATCAGGCATAAGGATGAGGAAAATACGTAAAGTGGTTTTCAGAGTGTGTTAAAAATTAACCGATGGTGGAAAGTTTACTGCAGGGTCACATGCTTCTTTAGTTTTAAAAAGAGACTGAACACAGACTGAAGACTTTAGTTATACTACAGTTGTTTGTCACTGTTGCCTGATTCTCTGTTTCATCAGGTTCCATATAGTTTCAATAGTTTGTGCTGAATGATGCCAGTTGCTTTTGCATTTTCAATTGATACCAGTCTTTTTAAATAATTCCCAATGAGAATAAAAGGTCTATTTTCTTAGAATAACAAGTCAGATGAGTCCAAGCTGAAAGCAGAACATCATCAGACCACAGAACAGTTCTGTATTTTCTTTTTCTGTCTTTAAAACCAATGGGTTTTTATATATTTACAGACATTTTTTCTCATGAAGTTGATAAGGTTGATGCACCACCAAAAATACTCTATGTGGAATGTGCACAGCAATGAAATTTGTCCTGTTTAAACCTGTGACCTTCTGGACACAAGTCCACTTCCTTAACCACTGCCCTTTGTTAAGTCAGTATTTTGCCTTTATTAGTGTATTACTGAGACTAACAACTAAATAAAAAACTTCAGCAAACCCTGACCAACTGACACTTGAATTAAAAAAAACTCTGATTTTACAAACTACACATTTTTTAGTTTTCATCACTCATTTTAAATGCCCCAACGTTCTTGAAACGCCTGCATTTCTTCATCATCATCATCTTCAAATGTGTGTTTTTAACACAGTCCATTAAACAGTTTCCTCTTATGGACAAACCTGCGTCAACGTATACTCAACTGTACCGTATGCCTGTTTTGTTTGGTAAACTTGACCTTTCACCTCTTGTGATATGATCGGTATTTTCTGCTACAGTCAGATACAAACCAGAAATTAATCTTTGCATGTTTGCACTGGCTGTTCTTCAACATACTGTTGGTGTGTTTGCTAATGGCGTGTCCTTTCTGTCTTTGCTTGAATGCGTGTGTCATGCATGCTTTATGTGTGTGCGTGTTTGTGTGTAGGTGTCGGCGCAGCAGCTGGCCTTCCAGCAGCAGCTCCTCCAGGTCCAGCAGGTCCAGCAGCAGCACCTACTCCACCTTCAGAGACAAGGCCTGCTCACGATCCAGCCCGGACAGACCGGCCTGCCGCTTCACTCGCTCACTCAGGGTCAGTGCCCAATCTCACAACACCAATCACAAAAAACAAAAATCTGTGCCTGTTTGTTAAGTGAGGTGTTTTTGGATGTGATTAGCACGGTTGCTGATGTGGAATGGAGATCTGGCCCATGGTGGAGCAAATATTTGATTCCAAAAGTTTTAGTTGTGCTGATAAGATCATTCGCTAACATATGTAATGATCCTAGGTTTTATTTGAAACTCAAATGATAAATATTATAACATGAGTGTAAAGTACACACAATTACTTCTTAAAAATGATCAGTCAGCAGGGGAAATGGACTGACAAAAACCCCCTCCCCCAAAAAACAGCCAGAGCGTTTCAAAGATTTAAGCCTCTCCACCATCATCTTTAGTCAGATTTTAGACACTCCTAAGTTTGTGTGCTTTTATAAACTGCTCACTATTCACGACAAAAGTCACACAAAAAACACATTAGTCAGTGTGAGATCATCATTGGTTTTTTACCCAGACTTTAGTGTGTGAAACCATACTGTATTTTAAACTGTAGATTGTAAATTACGTTAAAATGAAAGTGTCAGAATGAAGATCAGCACAAATTGATTTATACACACACACACGAATATATGCACCTTTATCAGTTGATCCCACTTTGTAGCTTATTGAAGTCCATCACTGTACGTTCACAGTGTTTCGGTGTGCGCTGATAGAAAAGAAATTATCTTTATCAAAGAGCTGAGTCAACACTGGGCTACGACACTTTATTTGACATTTCGCCCCTCCAGCATTGAAAAGTCTGTTTTTTGGAGCTTTTGCAGTTTACCTCTGCAGGCTATTTTTGGTCAGTTAACGTCCCGACAGTGAGGGGTTTATTTTGTTTGCTTTGTCTTTACTTGATTTTTCAACTGTCTGTGTCCTCATCCGGGCTCTGTGATTGACATCCAGACTCCTTAAGCCCTGAGGGTGACTGCAGCTATTGTTCATTAAACTTGGTATGACGGAATCACATTAAACGTTGAAACTTTTGTTGTTGGGCAAAAACATTTATTTCTTTAATGTTTTCTCAAGGATTGGTCGCCTCATGACTAAGATGCCATCATGAGGGATTGAGAACATCACATTGACTGGTTTTCCCAGTTCAAATTTGTTTGAAATAACAACGTCACTGCTACAACAACTAGCTGTGGTTAGGACGGTGAGGGTTGATGGGGCTTATAAGTATTAAAGCACAAACGTGGTTTGTACAGTGCTGTTATTGTTTGGACTGGGTATGGAGAACGTTCATCTACTCACCAATGATTGTCCTGGGCATTTGCTCAGATATCCGGCAAACACCGTCACACCCTTGAGTAAAGTATTATTGGAGGCATATGGCAAGCTACTGCACTTTTTGATGGACAGTACCAGAACATCCTGTTACACCACGTCATCTCCACGCACCTCCAAGGCATCTTACATTATTAGGAGAGTTTTGTTAATCTGTTTCAGTCAGCTCAGTGTTAGTTTTACACTTTGTACCTGGGTCTTACATCAAACACAAATGCACTGGGTTTACAGTAGAATAAGATAACAGATAACACAAAAATTAGTTTTAAACATTAAACAAAATTACATTTGAATTAAACTTAGCTAAATTCTAACCAAAATGTCAATAAATCAGGTCAATAAATGTTCACAAAAATACTTGCGGAGAGAATTTAAAGCAGCTGAAATAATAGTAACAATTGACCATGAAGTAAAGGAAATGATCCTTTAAATTCCTGAAATGCCAAAAATAAAAAACTGTAGTAATTTACTTGAAAATGTGTATGTATAAACATGTATTTGTATAAGAAACACAAATGCATTTGTTAAACCTAATTAAATTACATTACTACAAAAACAGAACATTTAAACATTTTAAGGGCTGGGTTTTAGAACCCAACACCATAAATGCCAATGCTAATTTAAGGTTATAAGTATTTATTAGGAAAATATTTTTTGTTAATATTTGCATGTACGCAATTGGGTGAGAAAGAAAAAAGGGTTTTCTTGTTCACATCTCACAATTCATGAAGATGGCAGGCAGTCAAACCTGACTGGGTTGTTTTCTGACTGAACTCTTATTTTCAGTAAACAACAACATAAGAAACAGAATCTTCTCCTGCACAATCGGCCCATTGTTGTAAACCAGTCAGACAGGGTGAGTTTGCCCTGATGTTCCATCGATGATTAACTCTCTGCCTCCAGCATCTGTTTTCACACTTACTGTAGACTCTAGCTTTAGGCCCTGCGTGTCTCGTCCTGTTCTTTATATTTTCTGCTTGACTGTTTGAAGTTATTGATGACCTTTATGTCTTCCACCCCACTAAACTTTTTCATGCATCAACGGGCCGTGGCTACTGTGGCCAGATCTAATCTGCCTTATATGCAGTTAGCACTGCAGTGGACCAGAGAAGCTGATCTTCTGTTCTCTGTTTGCCTCTCAGTGATTAGAACTTGGTTTCTGTAAATTAGCAGAGCTTTTTTTGAACCAATGACCCAAGGTGTGCCATTGTGAAATGTAGATAACAAAAACACATTCAGCCACTTTTTATACACATGAGAAACTTGGTTTTGGGGGTTTGAGAACAAGCCAAGTAAAAAATATATACCGTACTACAAACAACATGTGGAGTTCATCTTTTCAACATTCAGTTGTCGGTTTAATGAACCTACCGTTCATTGTAATGAAATGAAAGACAAACCTACGTGACATAAGTCATGTTAGTCATGTTAGCTGTTAGCAAAAACAATGAACAAGTTTCTTGTTACAGTTCAGAGGTCTGCAACCTTCAGTCCCTCTTCTTTAAAATAAACACTGCCTTTGTTTGTTGATTAGATTATAATAGAATGTTTAAATGCTTTTTGAGATACTTAGTATTTTTTTGTGTGTGTGTGTGACAAATTTGATTTACCGCCCCACAGTTTGATAGCGCTAATCAAGAGAAAATGTGTAGAATACAGTTTTGATTTAAAACAAGATTTCATGTTATCTGGGGTATAATATGTTTTTCTTGTTATAAATTCTTTTGACATTAATGTTTAAAGTCTTGAAAGCAGCGGGACAGAATCTGTTATAAATCACAACAATGTGTTTGGAGAGAATATAGCACTCATAAATATAAATCCCACCCATCTTCCTTCACCTCCGAAAAAAACCCCTATCCTGTTGACCTGTGAGAGTGTGTGTGTGCGTGCGCCCTGGACAGTGTTTTCGCACACCCTGGCTAAAATGGCCCTTCGCCCTTTCGGGTTGCTCTGCGCGAGAGCCAGTCCTCGTAGCTGAGCAACATCATTTAAGGTGTCTCGCGGAGGCCAGGCGGACAGTGACAAGACAAATTTGTCGGTAATACGAAAGCAAAGAATGTGGCGAGCCATGAAGTGCTCACAGAACGGCAGCACATCAGGGACAGCGGTGGGTAATGCGACTGACCTGTCAGTGATTGATACCTCCAGCACCGTGCTACTGGTAATAGTTCCTGCAGCATTAGGACAGCACATATTTCAGGCCTAAGGGGTGCACATCAGCAGGCCGGTGATTACGGTAACATAAACAGGGGTGCAGTAAAGGTCCCAGTCTGACAGAACAATAAACTAATAGCGATGTCACTGTCTCCCCATGGCACAGGCACTGTGTGTGAGGAGTAACAGCTCGGTTTAAAGAGCCCGGAGCACTGGGGGCCATTTTTTATTTGGGGGATGATGGCCTGCAACTGATGTCATTATGAACCTTAAATCAACTTTCTGCTTGCTTGAACATGGTCACCTGGGTACAGGGGGACAAGGACAGGAAAAGGTTGAAGAGCTCGGCCTGTCTCGGTGCCAGAGCTACCTGCGGAGGTAAAATTGAGTTGGGAGGCTGGTGATCAATCAAGTGTCCCAACAACATACATTTTTTAAAGTACTTGTCCGTATTTCCCAGTCGTAATGAGCAGAACAGTTGTGCTGAAAAATGGAAAGAGGAAAGATAAACCAATCTGGCATTTAAAGGATGAAAAAGCTGGGAACCCAGGAAAGAGGATTTACAGATCAATGTCATTACATGTCCCACAGTAATCAGATGGAAGGAAACTCAATGCATTTTATCAAAACACAAAATATAATACCTGCTGGGACGGCCACGTAATGACGTTTTATTGTCATAAATGTGAATCATGAGCCGCAGCTGTTGTTGGCAGAGGTGAGGGTTCGACAGGAGAAATATCAGGGAAGAGGCAAACAGAGGGCAATAAAACCGTAGACTAGATCCAGAAAAAGACAGCTTGGTCCCACTCCGTTACCCCTCTCATCAGACCGCTCTATCTGCTGCGGTTTCATCTGAGTAAACAGTGGTGTCGGGGTCACCAGGACTACTGGGTAATTGAGCCAGTACGGGCCGCCCTGTCAAGCACACTGGCTAAAAATACATCGCCCACTGTCATCGGGCACCAAGTGGGGGGAAAATGATTGGTACCGCTGTCGGAGCGCAGGACACTCGCATCAACAGTGACCTTCCCGTTCCGCCTTCAGAGAGAGATGCAGCAAAGACAGACAAAAGGAAACCAAGAGATAAAAAGATCTTTGGCTCCCAAGTCTCTGTAACGCATCAAAGAAACGACGCTACTTCTGGATCAGAAAGCACGTTATTGGCATGCTCCAACACAAGTCACAATATTTAGCATATTTAGCTTGTTATGAACATGCACTTTGATTAGGCCACATCAAAGTGTTAAAGAGAACCGAGGGTAAATACAGACGGGCAGAATAAAGCGAGTGTGTTCAAATATCTGAATAAGAAAAGACGATCGGTGGGACGTGGAAAGGTTATTGATTTGTCCTGCAATCATTTTCTGCTTCTTTGATATGCAAACGATCTAGTGTGAATTTACAGCTATCCTATCAGACTCATTTCACACTTCTTAGCCCCTGCGTCTCTCTGGAGTCCTCTGCCTCATTAGGCCAATGTTCCCCATTACCAGCATAATTAAAATCTTTAGTAGCTTATCAAATTAAAAATATTTTTTTGCTGATCATATTGAGATCTTCCACTCGTAGTTATTTTCCACAACAGGAATAAATTAAGACTAAGCATTTTGCACACAATGTAATACAATCTGCCTTTTGAAAGCAGCACTTCTGGTATCTGCAGAGCTGGTGATGAGAAGGGGGGAGCGGGGGAGGACCGCAGCATATAAACCCAAGTAGATAAGCACTTGCAAATCATCTTCCATTTGCCAGTGCTCATTTTGAGAATGGATTCAATTAATTGTAATGTTAAACGAGCAGCCTTGACTATTTGTTCTGCGGTTAAATTCAACACCATCCAAGAGCCTCTCTGGCTTCAATTGAAACATGTGCCTTGTATGAGAATCTGTTTGTCTCCAAGCAGAACTAAATATATAACATTGCAGTAAATAAAAGAAAGAAAATGGTTTATCAAAACAATTAGGTGTGCAAAAAATAACATTCAAACAATTCATATTTATTTGAATCAAATAAATATATATATAAAATAAATACAAAAATACAAAAACAAAACTACATCTAGAGCACATTTAGTCTGGCTCACCAATATACACTCAAAGTGATTCATTTTGCAACTTTACTCTTGTATGCAAACCATTAGGCTGAGAGACATTTTGCACAATCTGCACACTGTCCAGATTAATGCTCATTTTCTGCCAGTGAATGGACACAAACCAAGAGCAGATTAGATTAGAGTAGATAAAGTGCAGCCGGCTCTTCAGATGTGTTTGCTGCATGTTAAAGAAATTCTGTTCTTCAGGGATTTTCTCCCAGAGCACAGAGTGAGCTGTGAGCTGTGTGAGTGTGGTTGACTTGGTAAATGAGGTTTAAGTCTGTAGTGTCAATTGAAGAGCGTGCAGAGCCTTAAGTATTTTACACATTAATGTGCATTTGAGAATATTACCCCCGGGGTCTTGTTTCTCGCGCAGTCGGGGTGCGATGTTTCCGTCTGTAGCTCTTGTGTACTTTTAATTTTTTTGTTGTTGTTTGTTGTGTTGTGTGTGTTTGTGTGTGTGCGTTCTTCACAACTCTGTTGGAGAGCGAAAATGACGATGATTACTCAGATTTCATGCCTTGTCTGGATGTTAATTATTTACTCCGGGCATGAAATGTGCGTGAATGCCAGGGATTTGTGTGAACAAACACGCTTCAGATCACAGGGAAAAGGGGAGGAATGGGAGGAGGAGGAGAAGGAGAAATACAAGAAGGCGGAGGGGGCGACAACAGCTCCCAGTGCATTAGGCTGTAGTGGAATATTTTCTAATTAATACTCAGCTTTGTTTACAGGCCCTTTGATTTAATTAAGCGATGATGAAGACAGTTGAATTAGCTCACTAATTGATTCAATTATTCCGTTTGTTTGTCTCAGGCATGATTCCAGCCGAGCTGCAGCAACTGTGGAAGGAGGTGACGAACGCTCACGTGAAGGAGGAGCACCACAACAGCAGCAACAACCATAGCAACAGCAACAACGGCCACCGGGGCCTTGACCTGTCCTCCCCGACCACGCCAAAGAACCCACTTGTTAACCAGCAATCCTCTACCAACGGGCAGTACATGAGCCACAAGAGAGAAGGGTATGTCCCACGGTCTGTTCTTAGGACATGAATACAACAGTTGTTGTTATGCTGTCCCTCCGAGGGCCTGAATTGAAATAGTCCCCGCACCCGATCACCACATGGTAGCCGTGATATGTTGAGGTCGGTCTACAACAGTTACAGTAAACTTCTGTTAAAGTCTACGTGGTCACACTGAAGATGCAAAACAGAGGTTTGGATCTGCAATGTGTCTACAGTCCACTGGTCTCAACACAATCAGTCCAGTGTTGGGTTGGGGTGAAACAGTCCATACACATCATCGATGATGTGCAGCTTACAGTTTGGACTTTTTGAAGTTATCTTTTCAATGTGGACCAAACGAACTCTGATTAGTGTTTCCAACATCTGGGTGAACTGGAAGAAGCTCCTATTGACCAGAAGGTCTATTTAATGTGGATCAGTTTAAACCTTAGGCGGTTGACAGCTGACCTCCAGGCCCTTTTCCACCTTGTGGTAAATAGTCCCTGTTCTTACTGGTAACTCATCTTTATCATAATAAATAGGGAAACAAAACGAAAAAGGTGCTGTTCCTCATAACATTGGTTTAGACAACACATTATGTTTTTTTTCTGTTTGGAGATATAACTGAACACAGACTGCATTGTATTATTGTTGTGTATACACTTTCATGAAGTTGACATAAACACCTGAAAAGGACTTTGAAAAACAGCGTACTCTTCATGGAGGGTCAGGGCATCAACCCGCCCTGTTGCTGTTGTCTCTCTGCAAGTGCAGCTGTGACTGAAGTCTTTCCAGAGAGGGAAACACAACATGTCTTTGTACGCCGGGAACTTGTTGACACAAAGAGCCCAGCAGGAAAAAAAAACAACACGTTATTATGCTAAAAGAAACAAACACGGGGTGTAACATGTTTTCAGAGTGAATCATCTGTGGGAGATGTTTGTTTGTGAGCGGCGTGCATGTGTGTGCGCGCACGCGTGTGTGCTTGCACGTCTTTAAGGAAGAAATTAATTTGGCATCTTACACATTTGCTCGTTGTCTTGCACTAAAGCCTGATCTTTGAACCGCCAGCGAGGAGCCTCGGGCGCCATGAGCTCACTGCCTAACATCTGACTTGTGTTTCAGTGATCAAAACCTACGCTTCATTAAGAAAGCGCTGCAGATAAAAACATGTTTAGCGCTGCAAA